GCAGTTCTTCAGTTATAATACTTATACCATCGAGATAATTGAACATGCTTCCTAGGATACAGATAATTGTTTAGAAGATTTGAATTTGCTTGGTTGAAATTCTATTAATCGTTTAAAAATAAAACAATTTTGGCTATGATTCCCGAACAGTAATAACAAAATATTACATGCCTGTCATATCTTTCAAGTAACAACTTAAAACAAAAACCGCATTCACCTGTCAACATCATCGTGAAAAATTAAATTGTTGATTTCAAAAGAAAAAGGAACAAGACAAGCAATAAGGCGGACATTATCATGAAAATAATGTATAAACGACGATAATAAACACATTTGGTTTAGAAAAGACGTGGCGCCATACGCTATAGGTACCTACTCCTACTTGATTTAAAAAAAAAAATGTTGAAAACGAAAACAAAAAACGTTAAAATATTGTTTTTAAGCGATACGAGATTCGAAATAGCTACGGAAGTTGAAAAAGGTAGAAGAGGATTGGGACGAATGGTAATTAGACATCGTTTAGTGTCGCTTTGTCTCCCCAAACACACGCTGTCAATTAGGCGTTGATATATGCGAACACGTACATGTGTAATGCCTTCGTAAATGTATTAACACACACGACCATAAGGGATATTTAAAACTGTGCAACCGTCTCGGGTTGAGAATTCAGATATTTGACGCTAAATATTCTAAATAGTTTAACTTTATCACTTCTACTTGGTGATGGGCAAAATTTGTCTGGATCTTGCGAAAATCCAAGACTTTCTTTATAGTAGTAAGACCAAGAGCAAGACCGAACGAACAAGACTAAAACCAAGACCAAATATGCAAGACTAAACGAAAAATTATTACTTTTGATGGATTTATGAGTTAAACTATGTATTTGAAGCAACTATAATATGTTCATTTCTTGGAGTATTTGAAATTTTCAGTTTGCTTTACTAGATTTTAAAACTACAGTGGATTTCGGGTGTAACGACGACGAAGGGATCACTATAATTGCGTCGTCATATCCGGAAGTCGTTACAGGCAAACGTAAAGAGATACAAATACGTATGCACAGTTTTCACCATTTTTCAATTTTGATTTGATTTCCGCCTTTTTTTTTAACAGTGAATGTGCATTTTGGTGTCATACTTATTCAAAAGTTTACTAAACACAGTTTCTACTCAGAATATCTGTGTGGATGTAATCAAAAGATAAGAAAGCTCTTTGTGTCTTTAGCGGCCGAGTCCGGTCGCTATAACTCCATGGGATTACTAGGGATTTGTTACAAACGATTCATTAAAAAACAGTCGCCACACCCGAACTCGGCGTTACATCCGAAGTCGCTATAGCCACATGAATTTTGTACTAAAGTATGCTTTAAATTCAAGGGACTTAGATTTAACGTCGCTAAAGTAAAATGGTCGCTACAACCAAGGTCGTAATACATGAAATCCACTGTAACTATAAAAAAAAGAAACTTTACCACTGTTTAAAAAACGGGATCTACAAGAATGTCTTCGAAGTATGTAAGTGTTCTTTGTTCCTATGTCTGGATAACAAACTAATATTTCACTAGTAATGGGATAGCATCGAAATCGATTGAATTAACAAGTAGATTCGATGGTTGCTAAGTATAAATTCGTGGGCATCATCAAAAGAATTGTAGTTCATTAATCTTTTACCATAATGAAAACCAATAAATAAAATAATACCTTTAAGTAACATATATTATATTTTTATGATTTCCACAATATAAAATGTTCTCATTTCCATTTCTTTTCTTGAAAACTGTTATCTAGTAGCAAGTCTCGTCCTGGAATTTTTCGAAAATTTTTGTTCGCATTGGCTTTAAGTTAATAGTTGCTGGTTTTCACATACGTGTCTAGATCGTCCAAAATGAATTATGCATAAAATTGGGAAGGACTAACCAAAATTATAAGGTTTTTAGTTCAAAAACTGGTTGGATACCTCCTTCCTATCTCGAGCCAATCTTCACATTACGATATGATTTCCTTTGCATTCAATGAATATCCTTTCTCATTTGTTAATACAATTTTGATACTCCTTACGTCATTTTCTTTGTGTCTTTAACCATTGCAATAATAAGTTTCTATTCTGATAAATCTCTTCAGATTTTCCCTGTTCAAATCTCTTTCTCACTTCATGGAAGCAGATTTTCATTTAGATAGTTAATGCAATTAATACCTACACTAAATTCCATATTTTTAGACTATGACTGACAGATAGTAGTTAGACATGAGATTAGTGATCATACACATGAGGATTTCTTTTTACCTTTTCCGAAATGACTTTGTATAGGGTTCCACAAATTCGTATCGGAACAGAACCGAGTTCAAAGGATATGACAATCTGGCAATCTTTGATATTAGACGTAGCAATAAATATGCCACTTCTAGCTAAATAGTTCATTGCGAAGATTTGATTTAGGTCGTGTATTTTCGGCTGAATTATTACCGGTCGTTGCGAATAAAGAGCGTGAATGTTAAATAAGTAATCGCTAGAGAAATATTTATTAAACTTCAGTACCAGGTACTTAAATCAAAATCACGTTGACTACCGTTTTGCAAACTAACAGGGACGATAGTTATTAATGTGAATTCCGCTGTACTTCATAAAACTTGGAAGCAACCATCATATTTATGTATATTGGAACAAACATGACAAATTGGTTTAAGCTTTCGCAGGCATCGATGATGTAATTGTTAATTTTTGTGCTTTCTGCTGTCATTGATGAAGGCTTCTTATCCTCAACGTTTCGTCGACTAGTGTGACCGACATCTTTCCAGGGTGGTTAGTCTGTGACTCGGCAGAAGATGAAGAAGCCTTCACCAATGACAGTCAGAAGCCCAAAAAATAAAAATTAAATCAAACACTTTTTGGAATGTAAATATTTTAATGATAAAATTTTAAAAGTGGTTATGAATAATTTTGAAATAGAGTTACATTTATTGAATTTTGAAATTTTAAGAATACTCATCATCATCATCATAAGGTCGTCAGTCCTAAGGCTGGTTGGACACGTACCTCCACTCTTTCTTATTCTGAGCTAAACTTCGCACTTCCTTAAAACTAGAACAACCCACATCCTTAACTATTTGTGAACATTAATCTAACCTAGGTCTACCTCTACCCCTTCTAATTCCTGTTTCTGCCTCTAACATGTCTCTGACTAGACCTTCATGTCTAAGAAACTAATACAATCAGAAAATAAAGTTTTCTTAGTTTGCGTTGAAAGAATCCACTGAAAATTCGTAAAACAATAGAAGAAATGATCACACATTTCAATTTAAGCTTTCACTACATCTTTCGGCTTTCAGTTGAGTAAGATTTGTTACCTACCGACGATTCATGAGACTGAATTGGTATATAATATAATTGCCCGTTTTAATACGCTGTTTGGCTAACATTAATGCTGCAAAATGTTTTAATTTGACATTGGTTAGGTGTTCTTTCATTCATTGAATGACTATTCCTTCGACTTGCCCTGTATAGCCTTTTCTAATGGAGCATGGACTCATGTAAAAGTAGTCCTGTAACGTACTCTAATTATCCCAGGAATACCTAAGCATACAAGATCTCATGTCCCTGGAGGAAAAACCGGAAGAACGGTCATACAAAGGACAAAAGAACCAATTTAAACAAAATAGCTATTATTGCTATTAATGCAAAAGGTTAATCGTAGGAGAAATATTTATATATTTAGATCTCGCTTCCTGATGGTTGGTTAAAAATATGCCAAGAAGACCGGAAGCTCTGCATTATTCATTTTATAAAGTATTGAAAAAGGTATTTGCCATTGCCTTATGCTATTGAGTTTTGTTTAAAGTTGTCTAATTTATGAATTTTATAGTTATCTATAAAGGACAATTTAACAGTACCACCAAATCGCCTTGGCTTTTAATTTTGATGAAAATTGCTCTACCAAATGGGTTACATGAGTTCGCTTGAATGTGTGAATTGTCTAAAACTCTATCCACAGTGGTTTGGAAGGTTGAAATTCCACAAGCGTCTATATGAATTGAGGAAACCCAAGTAAGAATGAGCTGATACATTACATAATGTATTGTGTAAATCACTTATGAACAGTACAAAGAAATAAACGAAAACGTGAAGATAGACTTTTTAAAATACTTATATCATGTTATAAAATGACGTATTACGTGCAGCCCTTAAATTTTTCAACTATAAATAAAAAATAAACAACAAAATTGCAAATCGTCGTAAAACCCTCTTAGATTTACAACCCCTTATTCTTGTTACAGATTGGTTATCCTAAGTACTATTGTACATTTAATTTTCATACCTTCCATAAAATTGCGCCCATCTTCTGAATCGTCCCCTTCGCACTCCTTTGCCATTTCTTCACTCATGAACTGAACATCGTTATTTACAGGGAAAGTACCGGATTCGTTCTCGATTTCATTTATTTTCCCTAAAGGATTCGTATTAATATCCGTCGGAAACGTTTGTTCTTCAGCTGAAGACCTTTTGTTATCACTAGACAATATCGACTCAATGGAAAAACTTTTAGAACAAGTTTTAGTTTTCACTTCACTTTCCCGTTTTTCTTCCATACTTTCACTTTTGATTTCACAAATTACCAGTAGTGCAAAATTAGATCGGATCGCAATCGCTTTCCAAGAAAATGTAGTAATTTTTGAAACGTGTGTCAATTTGTTGGAATACGTGTGTTGATTTAATTAAATTTTCTCGTGGACCCTGGGGTTGAAAACTAAGTCAATGGATCGGTGCGTTTCTTAAAAACAGATCAGCCATATCCAAACAGTTTTATTGTCGTATGTTATTTTCTCATAAAGCAAGTAGGACTTAAGTTCTATTAATAAAAGCTTATAACTTAAAGTGTTTTCGAGGACTACAGCCAATGGCAACAACCGAGGGGTGGAGTTTCAAAAATCCCAGAGCAGGAATGGATAATTGAGATATATTTAGTTAAAACATATGTGTCAGAATTGTTAGACATCTTTTGTTAATTCGATGCTTCAAAGTGAAATTTATGAGATATGCTTTGAAAATGGGTGGGGAAGAAATCACTTTGTAAGTCTGGTTGGGAAATTGAAACTGACGCCTTTTCCTGTTTTTCAATTTTTTTGTTTCATACGTTAACGATACAACGTTTTAATAACTCGATAGTGTTAGAATATAAAGGAAATTTTTCAACCCTTTCTTATTACTATAAACAAGAGTTAACGACATAGCCACCATATACGACTACCTAAGTGAATTGCATACTAAACCCCCTAGGAACTTTTAGTTGGGGTTCATCAAAATTAGATATCTACACATTTCTTTGTAGAAAAAATGAATAATTATGAAACTGAAGAGAAAATATCATCCGCTTCTCTGAAAACTGTCCGAACTTTTAAAATCCTTTGAACACCCTTCGAAAGCTTTAAATTCTGTTACTAGAATTATATTAGATATTTGTACGAATTTTCCTATACCACGTGGTACTTTTGCTGCCCTAAAAGCTAACAATTAAAGTACCTAAGGTGAAAAAACAGATTGAAGCTAAGCTAAATTCTAGTCCTACCCCAAAATCGAAATATTTACTAAAACAGTTTACCCTTTGCCTTTATAATTATTAGGTACCATCAGTTTCCTTCAAGTTCAACAAGAATTGCGACATTTGTGCCTTTTATTGTTTATGATCTTACTTTTTATACTGCCTACACTATAGGTAAGTTTTGCTATAATTATATCTATAAACTAAGAAATAACAACATTAATTCTTTTTATCGATTCTTTTCAACAGAACAGTTTTTAGTTAATCTTGTGGCTGTATAATATTCCTAGTTACTTTATAACATGTTTATAATATTTGTTGTTGACAATACGCTTGTTAGCGCTAAGTGGCGCCAGTCGAAATTCCTATCATTGGATCATTTGCATTATTGAGATATTAAAGCGTCAGGCTTCAACATCTGTCGGATGCCAAGCATCCAGTTAACCATCCGTAACGTCTGAAATTACTTCCTTTCGGAACGAAAGGGCCGAACAGACGAATATATCTATTAAAACACTATATGTGTATAATATCCTTTAATTGGACTCCCTCATTTGCGAAAGTCTTCGATTACAGAAGCAATAAAGTGTCGTTTTTATTGGTAAAATATCTCTCACAAAAGATACACATGTACGTTTTCACGTTTGTGGTGATGAAGTACACTTAGACTATTAGAAATGTCAAACAAATATTATTTATTAACTTTTATATTCGAGACGAAACATGAATGTTATTCTTTTTACTAAAATATTAGGATTTCGACCACGCCTTAGCACAGGATTATTTACATATATTTTGCAAACTGGCTCAATAAAATCTGCTTTTTTTATACCTATGATAAATCAAGATCATCATGATAGATGCCCATTCGACAGCGAAGTCTTTCAATTGGGACAAATATCGCACACCAGTTAGGGGTCTTTTTAAGCTTACCTTTCCTGTGGACAGGTTATGGACTGTACTACAGGATACAACAATAGAATGTGTAACGACTGAAGAATTTAAAACAATTTTCTATTTAAAAGAATGTTTGTTAGATGTTACATATGAAACTGAAGATTAAGAATTTGAAAGTTGAAAGTGTATTGGTTACCAAAGCTTTGCGACCCTTATCAGTCTATAATCTTGCTTGATAGTTTTTGGTTACCAAAACATCTCATAACTTTCAATTTCATATGTAAAAGATCTTTTAAATTCTTCAGTTATAACACATTCCATTGATAATTTGATTATCATTAAGTAGTCTAATTGTTCATCTCTTTACTCCTGATGCTTTTGCTTCCACCTACCCTCTGTCTCTTCCCATTGTTCACGCACCGTTCCAGTACAGAACCCTACCTCAAACTTTTAACTTTTTGGCATTTGGANACTCCTGTTTACGCTTCTAATATGTCTACACCTATCCCATCATGTTTCCAAAGGTGTCCTACCTTCCTCTTTCTCTACTCTTATGTGTTTAGATTCATAAGTAATTAAAGTTCATGCAATAATTTCATTATTTATTTTCAGTTTCTCAAGTGTATGAAACAAACAAAAGTTTCTAATTTTAATTTTTTTCAAAAAACCGATACAGTAGATCTAAGCAAGGGGAATAGGTACTTTTTAGAGGAAGGACGATACTAACAGATATCGGAAAGAACAATCATGAAAGTAATAAAGAAATTACGTGAAATCAAGATCGTTATAGTTTGGGAGAAGAAAACAGAAAAGATTTAGAAGAATAAAAAAGAAATACTCTATGTGTTCAAAAACAATTGGAGAACAATGGCGATCCTTGAAAAAAGGACAAACACAAAATCAAGAATTCTGAGATTGTCATAGCTGACAATACTGTGCTACTAGAACTGGGATATTAAACTTTGAAAGGTTTGACACTCTTCAGGGTTAAATATCTTATAACATCCCTAGACAAAAATTTTTAGTCTCTCTCCAGTCTCTCAGAGCCTTTCAGATTCTTTCAGCGTCTCCGAGAGCGTCTCTCACAGTCTTTCATAGTCTCTCAGTTATTGCCTAGGTGTTTTTATGGATCTCTCACAGTCTCTGTATGAGAGACTCGAACGATAAAATTGTTAATTCAGAGATTCGAGTCTCTCACAGAGAGACTGAATCAATAAAACCGAAAAATTGAGAGACTCGAGTCTCTCGTAGAAAGACTGGGATCTCTGAAATATGTTGAACTTTAACCATGTCTATCGAAACACCATTTATTGAGGGATTCGAGTCTCTCGTTCAGAGACTGGATACGAAATGAGGATCTCTCTATGAGCGACTCGAGTCTCTCGTTCAGGGACGCTAAAGACAGTCTATCGTCAGTCTCTCTCAGCGACACCAGAGAGACTCGATGAGAGACGGAGACTCGCGTCTCGCTTTCAGAGACTCTGAGAGACTGGACATTTTTATCTCGGGATTCCTACTCCTTCTGATAGTAGAAGCAATATAGAAAATAATTATATTTAGAATGCATCACTAAAAACAGAAATGTACTTAGAACAGAATTTTATGGTAAATGTCAAGAAATAAAGTTGTATAAAATTCTTTTTTGGACAAGTGTGGTTACTACGTTCTTTTCTATTTTCTTCTGGATTTCGTTATTAAATACGTATTTTTGTTTGGGATTAGAAAACCAAATTTCTGATTGAACGTATAAGTAGGTATATAGAAGGACCGAACGCAGCGATATTTTGTTACATGCAATAATCAAAGGGCTGCATTATCTTTTGAACAATACGAAGTAGCATATAAAAATTCGTATGAGATAGAACTGCATACCTTCTTTCATCTAATAATATTGTAATATAAGTCTAATAGGTAAATGTAATTTAATACTTTTGAGAGTCCGGCCAGTTTACCATAGTTTTTAAAGAAGCAAAACAAAAACAATTTATTTTTTAATAGATTTATAATATAAATCAAAAAGAAAAAAAAACATTGCAAAATTGTAAGTAATAATCGACTAATTATTGTTAGAATTAGTCAATTATTTTGTTCAAATCGCGACTGGATACTATTTAAAAATTACTTTCTGGGCGTCGTGTTCTATAATTAATTAATTGCCAGTACATAATCATAATTTACGCGGTTGTAGTAAAAAAAGAAGAACGCGATGTTAAGACACGGCTTTCCAGTGTCGGCATTTTTAAAAGCTGCTCGTCCGTCGTTTATTTCGAGAAGTGATACCTATATAAACTCCTGTTTAGACAGAAGTGTCATGTAGCAGCAATTAGCCTGTAGGAAATCCTTCTCCGAATAATTTAAAACCTACGACTCTAAACAGTCAAATATGTGTCGTAAATATAGCTTTAAGCTTCGGCTAAGCTGCTCTTTTAAGAAACGTTTAAACTCATTCGTACATATTTTATCTCTTTGTTCCTTTGCAAATGCAAATGGTTCTGTTTCTGATAGAAATCGGTTTCATTTATTTTGCATTAAACTTCAACGTGTGCAGAATGTTGTTGAATTTCTAATTATGCAATTGTATATAATAATATTAGCATTTTCAAATGTGAATATACCTCTAAAAACTAGTTATCATTTGTATGTTCATTCAATCTTATTTCAAGTAGCCAATTTGCTTGTTCTCCTCATCATCATAAGGTCGTCAGTCCTAAGACTGGTTGGACACGCACCTCCACTCCTTCCTATCCTGAGTTAATCTTCGCATTTCCCCAAAACTAGAACATCCCACATCCGTAACTATTTGCGAGCAGTAAGCTAATCTAGGTCTACCTCTACCCCTCTAATATGTCTCTGACTAGACCTTCATGCCTGAGAAGGTGTCCCACCAACCTATCTTATAAACATCCAGAGAATCCTCTGTTCTCCTATTCTTTCTAATATCTCTTCATTTCTAACCATCTCTGTCCGCGGTATCCTCATCATTCGCCGGTAATTCCACATTTCGAACGTTTTTAACCTTTTCTTTTTCGTAGCGCCCACTGTCCATGTTTCGCACCCGTACAGCGCCGCGCTCCAAACATACACCTTTAACAATCTTTTTCGAATTTCTAAATTAACCGTTCACAAGCATAAAAGTGACTTCTTTTTATTAAAGGCGACTCGACCCTGCGCTATCCTCTGCTTTATATCCCTACTACTCCTTCCCTCTTGACTTATCTGACTTTCTAGATACGTAAAATCAGTCACTTCTTTTAATTTTTCGTCTCCTATCTTTATATTCGCTCTTTCCCTACTTTTCTTCCTTCTCGAGATAAAAATGTTCAGTCTCTCAGAGTCTCTGAAAGCGAGACTCGAGTCTCCGTCTCTCATCGAGTCTCTCTGGTGTCGCTGAGAGAGACTGACGATAGACTGTCTTTAGCGTCCCTGAACGAGAGACTCGAGTCGCTCATAGAGAGATCCTCATTTCGTATCCAGTCTCTGAACGAGAGACTCGAATCCCTCAATAAATGGTGTTTCGATAGACATGGTTAAAGTTCAACATATTTCAGAGATCCCAGTCTTTCTACGAGAGACTCGAGTCTCTCAATTTTTCGGTTTTATTGATTCAGTCTCTCTGTGAGAGACTCGAATCTCTGAATTAACAATTTTATTGTTCCAGTCTCTCATACAGAGACTGTGAGAGATCCATAAAAACACCTAGGCAATAACTGAGAGAGTGAGAATGACTAGGAGAGACGCTCTCAGAGACACGGGAAGACTCTGAAAGACTCTGAGAGACTGGAGAGAATCTGAAAATTTTTATTTAAGGCTTGCATACCAGTATTTTTGTGTTACTTTTATTTATTTTCATACAGTACTGTTTTACTGTCAATACCGCTTCCATTTTATTTAAAGCTATCTCCAACTCCTCCTTGCTAGATGCTAATACTACTTGTCCTATGTAATTTTTATTGCAGTTCTTCAGTTATAATACTTATACCATCGAGATAATTGAACATGCTTCCTAGGATACAGATAATTGTTTAGAAGATTTGAATTTGCTTGGTTGAAATTCTATTAATCGTTTAAAAATAAAACAATTTTGGCTATGATTCCCGAACAGTAATAACAAAATATTACATGCCTGTCATATCTTTCAAGTAACAACTTAAAACAAAAACCGCATTCACCTGTCAACATCATCGTGAAAAATTAAATTGTTGATTTCAAAAGAAAAAGGAACAAGACAAGCAATAAGGCGGACATTATCATGAAAATAATGTATAAACGACGATAATAAACACATTTGGTTTAGAAAAGACGTGGCGCCATACGCTATAGGTACCTACTCCTACTTGATTTAAAAAAAAAAATGTTGAAAACGAAAACAAAAAACGTTAAAATATTGTTTTTAAGCGATACGAGATTCGAAATAGCTACGGAAGTTGAAAAAGGTAGAAGAGGATTGGGACGAATGGTAATTAGACATCGTTTAGTGTCGCTTTGTCTCCCCAAACACACGCTGTCAATTAGGCGTTGATATATGCGAACACGTACATGTGTAATGCCTTCGTAAATGTATTAACACACACGACCATAAGGGATATTTAAAACTGTGCAACCGTCTCGGGTTGAGAATTCAGATATTTGACGCTAAATATTCTAAATAGTTTAACTTTATCACTTCTGCTTGGTGATGGGCAAAATTTGTCTGGATCTTGCGAAAATCCAAGACCAATACCAAGAGTTTCTTTATAATACTAGTAAGACCAACATCAAGACCAAACGAACATGACTAAAACCAAGACCAAATATGCAAGACTAAACGAAAAATTATTACTTTCGATGGATTTATGAGTTAAACTATGTATTTGAAGCAACTATAATAACCGGCCGATTCCGGTAGCTATAACTCCATGGGATTACTAGGGATTTGTTACAAACGATTCATTAAAAAACAGTCGCCACACCCGAACTCGGCGTTACATCCGAAGTCGCTATAGCCACATGAATTTTGTACTAAAATATTCTTTAAATTAAAAGATTTAACGTCGCTATAGCAAAATGGTCGCTATAGCCAAGGTCGTAACACATGAAATCCACTGTAACTACAAAAAGAAGAAACTTTACCACTGTTTAAAAAACGGAATCTACAAGAATGTCTTCGAAGTATGTAAGTGTTCTTTGTTCCTATGTCTGGATAACAAACTAATTTTTCGCTAGTTATCCGAAAGAATCGAAATCGATTGAATTAAGGAGTAGACTCGATGGTTGCTAAGTATAAATTCGTGGGCATCATCAAAAGAATAGTAGTTCATTAATCTTTTACCAGGAATGAAAACGAATAAATAAAATAATACCTATAACTAACATATATTATATTTTTATGATTTACACAATATAGAATGTTCTCATTTCCATTTCTTTTCTTGAAAACTGTTATCTAGTAGCAAGTCTCGTCCTGGAATTTTTCGAAAATTTTTGTTCGCATTGGCTTTAAGTTAATAGTTGCTGGTTTTCACATACGTGTCTAGATCGTCCAAAATGAATTATGCATAAAATTGGGAAGGACTAACCAAAATTATAAGGTTTTTAGTTCAAAAACTGGTTGGATACCTCCTTCCTATCTCGAGCCAATCTTCACATTACGATATGATTTCCTTTGCATTCAATGAATATCCTTTCTCATTTGTTAATACAATTTTGATACTCCTTACGTCATTTTCTTTGTGTCTTTAACCATTGCAATAATAAGTTTCTATTCTGATAAATCTCTTCAGATTTTCCCTGTTCAAATCTCTTTCTCACTTCATGGAAGCAGATTTTCATTTAGATAGTTAATGCAATTAATACCTACACTAAATTCCATATTTTTAGACTATGACTGACAGATAGTAGTTAGACATGAGATTAGTGATCATACACATGAGGATTTCTTTTTACCTTTTCCGAAATGACTTTGTATAGGGTTCCACAAATTCGTATCGGAACAGAACCGAGTTCAAAGGATATGACAATCTGGCAATCTTTGATATTAGACGTAGCAATAAATATGCCACTTCTAGCTAAATAGTTCATTGCGAAGATTTGATTTAGGTCGTGTATTTTCGGCTGAATTATTACCGGTCGTTGCGAATAAAGAGCGTGAATGTTAAATAAGTAATCGCTAGAGAAATATTTATTAAACTTCAGTACCAGGTACTTAAATCAAAATCACGTTGACTACCGTTTTGCAAACTAACAGGGACGATAGTTATTAATGTGAATTCCGCTGTATTTCATAAAACTTGGAAGCAACCATCATATTTATGTATATTGGAACAAATCAAACGTGACAAATTGGTTTAAGCTTTCGCAGGCATCGATGATGTAATTGTTAATTTTTGTGCTTTCTGCTGTCGTTTATGAAGGCTTCTTATACTCAACGTTTCGTCGACTAGTGTGACCGACATCTTTCCAGGGTGGTTAGTCTGTGACTCGGCAGAAGATGAAGAAGCCTTCACCAATGACAGTCAGAAGCCCAAAAAATAAAAATTAAATCAAACACTTTTTGGAATGTAAATATTTTAATGATAAAATTTTAAAAGTGGTTATGAATAATTTTGAAATAGAGTTACATTTATTGAATTTTGAAATTTTAAGAATACTCATCATCATCATCATAAGGTCGTCAGTCCTAAGGCTGGTTGGACACGTACCTCCACTCTTTCCTATCCTGAGCTAAACTTCGCATTTCCCTTAAACTGGAACAGCCCACATCCTTAACTATTTGTGAACAGTAATCTAACCTAGGTCTACTACCTCTACCCCTTCTAATTCCTGTTTCTGCCTCTGACATGTCTCTGACTAGACCTTCATGTCTAAGAAACTAATACAATCAGAAAATAAAGTTTTCTTAGTTTGCGTTGAAAGAATCCACTGAAAATTTGTAAGACAATAGAAGAAATGATCACACATTTCAATTTAAGCTTTCACTACATCTTTCGGCTTTCAGTTGAGTAAGATTTGTTACCTACCGACGATTCATGAGACTGAATTGGTATATAATATAATTGCCCGTTTTAATACGCTGTTTGGCTAACATTAATGCTGCAAAATGTTTTAATTTGACATTGGTTAGGTGTTCTTTCATTCATTGAATGACTATTCCTTCGACTTGCCCAGTATAGCCTTTTCTAATGGAGCATGGACTCATGTAAAAGTAGTCCTGTAACGTACTCTAATTATCCCAGGAATATCTAAGCATACAAGATCTCATGTCCCTGGAGGAAAAACCGGAAGAACGGTCATACAAAGGACAAAAGAACCAATTTAAACAAAATAGCTATTATTGCTATTAATGCAAAAGGTTAATCGTAGGAGAAATATTTATATATTTAGATCTCGCTTCCTGATGGTTGGTTAAAAATATGCCAAGAAGACCGGAAGCTCTGCATTATTCATTTTATAAAGTATTGAAAAAGGTATTTGCCATTGCCTTATGCTATTGAGTTTTGTTTAAAGTTGTCTAATTTACGAATTTTCTAGTTATCTATAAAGGACAATTTAACAGTACCACCAAATCGCCTTGGCTTTTAATTTTGATGAAAATTGTTCTACCAAATGGGTTACATGAGTTCGCTTGAATGTGTGAATTGTCTAAAACTCTATCCTCAGTGGTTTGGAAGGTTGAAATTCCACAAGCGTCTATATGAATTGAGAAAACCCAAGTAAGAATGAGCTGATACATTACATAATGTATTGTGTAAATCACTTATGAACAGTACAAAGAAATAAACGAAAACGTGAAGATAGACTTTTTAAAATACTTATATCATGTTATAAAATGACGTATTACGTGCAGCCCTTAAATTTTTCAACTATAAATGAAAAATAAACAACAAAATTGCAAATCGTCGTAAAACCCTCTTAGATTTACAGCCCCTTATTCTTGTTACAGATTGGTTATCCTAAGTACTATTGTACATTTAATTTTCATACCTTCCATAAAATTGCGCCCATCTTCTGAATCGTCCCCTTCGCACTCCTTTGCCATTTCTTCACTCATGAACTGAACATCGTTATTTACAGGGAAAGTACCGGATTCGTTCTCGATTTCATTTATTTTCCCTAAAGGATTCGTATTAATATCCGTCGGAAACGTTTGTTCTTCAGCTGAAGACCTTTTGTTATCACTAGACAATATCGACTCAATGGAAAAACTTTTAGAACAAGTTTTAGTTTTCACTTCACTTTCCCGTTTTTCTTCCATACTTTCACTTTTGATTTCACAAATTACCAGTAGTGCAAAATTAGATCGGATCGCAATCGCTTTCCAAGAAAATGTAGTAATTTTTGAAACGTGTGTCAATTTGTTGGAATACGTGTGTTGATTTAATTAAATTTTCTCGTGGACTTGTGCTGAAGGGGGTTGAAAACTAAGTCAATTGGTGATCGGTGCGTTTCTTAAAAACAGATCAGCCATATCCAAACAGTTTTATTGTCGTATGTTATTTTCTCATAAAGCAAGTAGGACTTAAGTTCTATTAATAAAAGCTTATAACTTAAAGTGTTTTCGAGGACTACAGCCAATGACAACAACCGAGGGGTGGAGTTTCAAAAATCCCAGAGCAGGAATGGATAATTGAGATATATTTAGTTAAAACATATGTGTCAGAATTGTTAGACATCTTTTGTTAATTCGATGCTTCAAAGTGAAATTTATGAGATATGCTTTGAAAATGGGTGGGGAAGAAATCACTTTGTAAGTCTGGTTGGGAAATTGAAACTGACGCCTTTTCCTGTTTTTCAATTTTTTTGTTTCATACGTTAACGATACAACGTTTTAATAACTCGATAGTGTTAGAATATAAAGGAAATTTTTCAACCCTTTCTTATTACTATAAACAAGAGTTAACGACATAGCCACCATATACGACTACCTAAGTGAATTGCATACTAAACCCCCTAGGAACTTTTAGTTGGGGTTCATCAAAATTAGATATCTACACATTTCTTTGTAGAAAAAATGAATAATTATGAAACTGAAGAGAAAATATCATCCGCTTCTCTGAAAACTGTCCGAACTTTTAAAATCCTTTGAACACCCTTCGAAAGCTTTAAATTCTGTTACTAGAATTATATTAGATATTTGTACGAATTTTCCTATACCACGTGGTACTTTTGCTGCCCTAAAAGCTAACAATTAAAGTACCTAAGGTGAAAAAACAGATTGAAGCTAAGCTAAATTCTAGTCCTACCCCAAAATCGAAATATTTACTAAAACAGTTTACCCTTTGCCTTTATAATTATTAGGTACCATCAGTTTCCTTCAAGTTCAACAAGAATTGCGACATTTGTGCCTTTTATTGTTTATGATCTTACTTTTTATACTGCCTACACTATAGGTAAGTTTTGCTATAATTATATCTATAAACTAAGAAATAACAACATTAATTCTTTTTATCGATTCTTTTCAACAGAACAGTTTTTAGTTAATCTTGTGGCTGTATAATATTCCTAGTTACTTTATAACATGTTTATAATATTTGTTGTTGACAATACGCTTGTTAGCGCTAAGTGGCGCCAGTCGAAATTCCTATCATTGGATCATTTGCATTATTGAGATATTAAAGCGTCAGGCTTCAACATCTGTCGGATGCCAAGCATCCAGTTAACCATCCGTAACGTCTGAAATTACTTCCTTTCGGAACGAAAGGGCCGAACAGACGAATATATCTATTAAAACACTATATGTGTATAATATCCTTTAATTGGACTCCCTCATTTGCGAAAGTCTTCGATTACAGAAGCAATAAAGTGTCGTTTTTATTGGTAAAATATCTCTCACAAAAGATACACATGTACGTTTTCACGTTTGTGGTGATGAAGTACACTTAGACTATTAGAAATGTCAAACAAATATTATTTATTAACTTTTATATTCGAGACGAAACATGAATGTTATTCTTTTTACTAAAATATTAGGATTTCGACCACGCCTTAGCACAGGATTATTTACATATATTTTGCAAACTGGCTCAATAAAATCTGCTTTTTTTATACCTATGATAAATCAAGATCATCATGATAGATGCCCATTCGACAGCGAAGTCTTTCAATTGGGACAAATATCGCACACCAGTTAGGGGTCTTTTTAAGCTTACCTTTCCTGTGGACAGGTTATGGACTGTACTACAGGATACAACAATAGAATGTGTAACGACTGAAGAATTTAAAACAATTTTCTATTTAAAAGAATGTTTGTTAGATGTTACATATGAAACTGAAGATTAAGAATTTGAAAGTTGAAAGTGTATTGGTTACCAAAGCTTTGCGACCCTTATCAGTCTATAATCTTGCTTGATAGTTTTTGGTTACCAAAACATCTCATAACTTTCAATTTCATATGTAAAAGATCTTTTAAATTCTTCAGTTATAACACATTCCATTGATAATTTGATTATCATTAAGTAGTCTAATTGTTCATCTCTTTACTCCTGATGCTTTTGCTTCCACCTACCCTCTGTCTCTTCCCATTGTTCACGCACCGTTCCAGTACAGAACCCTACCTCAAACTTTTAACTTTTTGGCATTTGGAAGTTAGCAGTTGATAAGCACACAAGTTATTTCTTTTTGTTAAACGTAACTTAAACTTTTGCATTTCTGTGTTTAGCGTACCAACGTCTTTGGCAAGGTTATAAAAATAATTTTAACACATTTTCTTGCATCGCCTTTATTTGAAATGTAATAAAAAACCAACTAATGTGGTATTAAGTAAGTATATCACATTAGAACAATTATTGCTAACAATAATTCGCTAAAAGATACCACATGTGCTTTTAAAACAATAATGAAGTAGAACACTTAGTTTTATAAAACTACAAAATTTACAGATACGGTGTCTAGTACCATTATTAAATAAGTACCTACTATACATTTTTCGTCTTCCATACTTTTGAGTTTTGTTACAATTCCAAAACTTTTCTCATGTTTCGTTAGGTTTTATCGTTACTCAATATTCAGTAATTATCCCTCACGGTTTTAACTACTTATTACGCTGTAGATAGTTACTGAATACGGTAAAGATAAAATTTAACAAAATATGATGGAAAGTTTTTGAATTGTAACAAAACCCAAAAGTAAGGAAGACGAAACAGTATCACTGTAAAAATTTTAAAAAATTGTACAAATCATACGATAGAGCAGTCAAATCAAATAAAAAACGTAACGACTACACGAAACGTCTACCTGTTTGCCCTACATACATTTGTAAAAGAACACAAAGTGAGCACCATACTTTACATTAACATTAAATATGGATATACATGGATGTGTAACATTGTCAAAATAAAAAATAATAAAAAATAAAGAAGAAAACGTGTTGTGTGTTCTACCTAGAATTTAATTAACAACAGCCTTTGTTTATGACTTGTCCATGTGCAATGCTACCAATGCTCCAACTTGGAGTTTCGGTCACTGCTGTGTCAGTAGCGTTCAAATCGGTCGCATTGGCGAACATTGTTCCATTTTCTTCGTTATCTGACTCGCTGTACGATGGTACCATGCCGGAAATTTGAATTAACTTCCTGGCAACATCGCTGAATATTTGGTCAATGCCCTGCGAATACATTATTAATAATAATTTGTGCAATTGCACAATAATCACTGTAAAAACACTTTTTATCAGTTGACTGATAGCCGGTTCAAACATTATTAAATTTACAATTTCTTTTGATTGGTCTATTGGAAGTCAAGATATTTCTAAAGGCCCAAGGCGCAAGCCGTACGGGCCGATAGTGCCCGCCGACCCCCGACGGCGCAAAACAAATGAGATCAAGGGGAAGTTTCAAAGGGTTCGCACTCGAATTCCTTAGGACTCTGCTACGCCACTGTGTCCATACGATTTATTGTAAGTCAAAACATTCTTTTAGTATTCCGTAGAGTCAAATCATCGCAGCGTTATAATTTTATGATAATTAATATTACAGTCGATATTTGTTTCTTCAACCTTATCAATTTATTACTGCTCTAATAAACCCCTGGAATCTTTGATAACATATGTATTTATGCAATAAACAGATAAAGATTATAAACATACACATTTACGTAAGTATTGTTCATTTTATTTCATGCATTAGGTCTTTTGTTTTATTTTATTTTAAACGGTTTATTTACAATAAATTTTGCAATTAACGACTATGATCAAGCTCACGATTATAGCTTTCGATTTTTAATTCGTAATATAAAATCTATCTATCCCTATATAACATATAAAACAAAGTTACTCACCCTGTGACGTTCCAAAAAAAAAGAAACTAAAATAGGGGCAATCTACCAAATAATTCAACGACGTTTAGATCTCGACTACCAATGATTGTATATTGAATATTTTCCTCTAACTCTATTTATAAAAGTGACTTTTTGTTATCATTAAAAACACAACAGTCACGTGTGGGAAACCGAGATAGTGGAACAAGTGGACTAATTTATTTTCTTTGTTGTGAAATATTTATAGACAATTGAATGCTCATTTATTATACATTTTTACTTACTTATTTTTTTATTTGTGGTATACATACAAATACATGTCACGCTGAGGTTTTGATAAAGATTGTACTTAAGCCGGATCTGTACAATGAAGCACGTTGTTCAGAAAAGGATTTAAGTATTTTTCTTTGTATCTGTGCACAATACTGCGCAAATATCAAACTCTGCTTCAGATAGTTTAGCAAGCAAAGAACCAGAAATTAATTATTACCTACCTGATTGTTACATGCCGAACACTCGGTATACGAAGCACCTACACTGTTGGCATATACCAGACCCTCATCTCTGGTAACCTATAAGAAACAGGACTTTCTTATGTGATCAGTATATATCGCGTACGTAAATTATATTATAGCTGTTGCTTTTAAGGGAAATCCCATCATTAGAAGTTTTAATATTAATGTCATACACTGCAACGGGAATTGCAATGCGCAAATAAGAATAATCAATGGACTTTCTTACAAGTTTACGCTCAAAGCGCGACGCTTGGTTTGTTTGTTGTCATTATTTCTCCAAATTTTTGATAAACAATGACAATTAAAACAAAAAGGAATCAAGTTGATGTAACATGCTCTGAACACATTTTTTCAATGGAAAATTAATAATTCTCTTACTTCTCTTTTGTCTGATAAGTCAGACTTATTTCCAACAATAGATAATATGATGGGATTCTCAGAATTTCTTTTTAATTCTGAGACCCAAGACTTCATGTTGTCAAATGACCGGCGTGCGGTGATATCAAACACTATAATTGCTGCAGTAGCATTTCTATAAAATAATGGTACAATGGCTTTGAATCGTTCCTGGCCTGCTGTATCCCAGACCTGGAATTCGAGAAATACCAAAAGTAAAGCAAACTAAGTCTCGTATGATCGAAACAATTGTTGAGTTAGCAAAATTAATTGTTGATATATCCACTTGGATTTTCTTCATTTCAAATCACTGTCTTAGTATGACCCTGGATAAGTCTTAGAATACATGCACTATCAAATCTCACAGGTAAACGATAATAAATTACGAAAATTAATGTAACATGATTAAAATGATGGAGAAGTATTTTCATAGATTTAGGTTACATATTACGTACATTAGGTACATTGAAAAGAAGCAATATAAAAAGTACCTGTTATAAAATAAAGTACTAACCTGCAATTCAACAGCCAAACCTTTAATATTAACTTTAGTTGTGAAGAACGAAGCACCCACTGTAGGGGGAATGTTATGGACTCTCTTTTCAACATATCTGGTAACAATACTGGTTTTCCCGACGCCTATTAAAGAAAACTAGTTTTTCTTTACTAATAAAAGAGCAAACATGCACTAGCAATTAAAAAATTGACAAGCACAATGTCAGATTCTCTTTCTAAATTATCTGGGGATAAGGGGATCGTAAAGGTAGGATTATATGTAAAACTTGAAAACTGGGACACAAAATTTCTGGAAACAGATTTGTGAACAATTTAAATGAATGAAATAGAAGAAATAATTCAAATATTTTCTAATATAAGAATTTCAAGACAGTTTTCAAAATAGTTAAGAATGGTTATCCCAGAAGACTTTGGTGCAATACATATAGTGTAAATATGACTCAGTAGCTAAGTGGAAAAACTGTTAAAAGTTTCACAATTTTGGAAAACGATACAATAAAGTGTTAAGTTTATAAATAGTTTAACCAGTCATTAATATTGAAAATTGTTGTATCCATTTTCCATTATACAAATTTTGTTCCAAAGCTGACACATCATATTACGTCTAGTCATTTCATGAAACAACGGCGTCTAATAGAATGCTTAATATTAATCACACAAAAAAGTGTAAAATACTTGTTCCAAATCCAAACACAACAAAATAATCAAGTGCAGATAATATAACAACAGAAAATTGAATTGTTTACGGAAAACTGATGAAGTGGAATTATATGCATGACAAATTTTATCGAGAATTATGAAAATAAAATGAACTGAATTTTTCATAGCAATTTCTCCAAAACAATAGTAACTCATTGTAATAACAAAATACATAAACGCAATATGATAAATAATACAATGGTATCTTATCGCAAAATAAAACGGAAATGAGGGATGAATTATAGTAAGTAGCTATCTATAATTTGTAACACATCTATAATAGTTTCTATTTATTTTCACCAACAGCAATACAAATTTTGATACAACTTTTTATTTTAAACTTTTTGTTTGGAGGAATTTCATAAAATAACTAGACCCATTATGATGTACCAGATTCTTTGACATTGATACATAGGTATTAATTTTACTACAGATTTTTTTTAATTATTTAAACAAATTAATATTTCAAGAAGACATATGCTCCTTTGGGTCTTTTTTACATATTCCACAAAACTTATCATAAAAATTTCGATNGGTCATTTCTCGAATTCGACACTATTTTTTTGCATGTATGACAGAAAATTTCAACATTTAAGACAATTATTGTTTAGGTACAAAAAAGTACCTAAGTATCGGAGTAAATCAACAAGACCAAGGACCAAGACCTATACCAACACTGGGACAGTCTTGATCTTGCTTTGTTCATCACTATAGGTAGGACATCTTTTCAAATATGAAGGGCTACTTAGAGACATTTTGGAAGTAGAAACCGATTTTACGAAGGACAGATGTAAATGTTCGCAAATAGTTAGAGACTTGAGCGGTTGTTCTAATTTTTGGAAAAAAAGGAATATTGGTTCAACATAAGAAGAAGAAGTTTGTGTCCAACCAGCTTTATTGTGGCTAATGAATTGGTGGTACTGTTTTCCAGTGATATTAAACACTGGAACAATTGAAATTATTTAAACAAATTAATATTTCAAGAAGACATATGCTCCTTTGGGTCTTTTTTACATATTCCACAAAACTTATCATAAAAATTTCAATATTTCATGAGATTCAGTATCGTGTGCCGCAAGAGTCAAATTTGAAAAAGAATTGCTAGTAAATTAAACTTTCTATTTTTGTTCATACATAATTAGTGTTACGTTTTTTTCGTTTAAACACCAATTATGTAGTACTATGTCGCCATCTGTGACATCGGTTTCTAACGTGTTAACAGTAGTATTTCGTAATATTGAGTAAGGTCCTTACAAAGGATAACTGACGCTGAGGGGTTTCTCGTAACGAGTTGCCCAATTGATCTACAGCGCACTTTGTATTATAACAACTCAAATGCCCTACTGATTCAGACACACAACAAAACAAAAGAAATCGTTAAATGATAAGAATATGAGATAAACAATGAACTCGTAAACAAAATATAAATATCGATTGCATGATAGATTTGATGCGTATTATTTGCAACTTACCAGGATCTCCTAATACAACCATTTTCGCAACAATATTGGACATTGTTTCTAGCACACCCCAAGATCATGGCAAATACTATACGAGCGTTTTTTTTTTTTAATTGTTTGAGCTCATTTCATGAGTCACGGACGGTACTTTTTGGAAATTCCCTCTTCACAAGTTTTAAAATTGTACACAATAAACAGCTGACTAGGTAAACAACTGTTTGTCGTTCTGTAATGTTAGTTCATGGGTGTAATTTTAGCTGCCATCTAACTGAAACTTTGTTTATGTACACTTCTACAGAGATAGTATTCGATCGGGCTTTTCGTTTCTTTCTTATACTTTCCAACAGAGAGCGTTACAGCTTTCAAATGTAGACAAGAATAAATAAAAAATCAATTTAAATGTGTCCCATTAATAAGCTAATTAAAAATTAATAATCTAAGTGATTATTGTGAGCGTTTAATAATGACAAATTAAATATGTTCGGAGCAATGAAAGAACCGAGTAACAAGGAGATATACGACTAACCTACGAGCTTTTTGAGCTTTTTTACTTCATCATCATCATAGAATNCTTTGACGTTGCTCTACAGAACGGAATTATTGTTAGATTATTTTGAAATTATCAAATTTCCAGCATTTATTTCAATTCGTTATCAAAAAAGCATAAGATAACGAACGTCATCATCATAAGGTCAGTCCTAAGACTGGTTGGACACGCATTATGACTCTTTCCTATCCTGAGCTAATTTTCGCATTTCCCTAAAACTAGAACAACCCACGAACGTACTAATTAAATAATTTAATAAACTATAGAAAAACAATTACTGAATGTTCTTCAATATTTCCGGAAAGTGCCTATAGATTCGTTTCTATCTTGCAGTCTACACGTTTCTGTATAAACAAAATTTATAACAATAGCTCTCGCCTGTCAGCAGCGTTATCAAAGGCGCCGCCGTATCAACTGCCGCCTGCGGCATTCTTCCACAATAATAGAAGATACAAAAGAAAGTTGTAACGTATAAACGATAAATTACATCTTCCATTTATTTATGCAACGCTGCAAGTAGCAAGACTGCATTCTATGTATTTCGCATACGTAATCACCGTTTCAATTATCGTGTTATATATTGCAGCGCGCAAGTTGAATTAGCTTTCTTACACTAGACGCGAATCCCAAGGGAACGGAAGGGTTATTTGCNGTAAATTAAACTTTCTATTTTTGTTCATACATAATTAGTGTTACGTTTTTTTCGTTTAAACACCAATTATGTAGTACTATGTCGCCATCTGTGACATCGGTTTCTAACGTGTTAACAGTAGTATTTCGTAATATTGAGTAAGGTCCTTACAAAGGATAACTGACGCTGAGGGGTTTCTCGTAACGAGTTGCCCAATTGATCTACAGCGCACTTTGTATTATAACAACTCAAATGCCCTACTGATTCAGACACACAACAAAACAAAAGAAATCGTTAAATGATAAGAATATGAGATAAACAATGAACTCGTAAACAAAATATAAATATCGATTACATGATAGATTTGATGCGTATTATTTGCAACTTACCAGGATCTCCTAATACAACCATTTTCGCAACAATATTGGACATTGTTTCTAGCACACCCCAAGATCATGGCAAATACTATACGAGCGTTTTTTTTTTTTAATTGTTTGAGCTCATTTCATGAGTCACGGACGGTACTTTTTGGAAATTCCCTCTTCACAAGTTTTAAAATTGTACACAATAAACAGCTGACTAGGTAAACAACTGTTTGTCGTTCTGTAATGTTAGTTCATGGGTGTAATTTTAGCTGCCATCTAACTGAAACTTTGTTTATATACACTTCTACAGAGATAGTATTCGATCGGGCTTTTCGTTTCTTTCTTATACTTTCCAACAGAGAGCGTTACAGCTTTCAAATGTAGACAAGAATAAATAAAAAATCAATTTAAATGTGTCCCATTAATAAGCTAATTAAAAATTAATAATCTAAGTGATTATTGTGAGCGTTTAATAATGACAAATTAAATATGTTCGGAGCAATGAAAGAACCGAGTAACAAGGAGATATACGACTAACCTACGAGCTTTTTGAGCTTTTTTACTTCAGCATCATCATAGGATCGTCAGTCCTAACACGCACTTCGCAATTTCCTATCCTGAGCTAATCATTGCACTTCCCTAAAACTAGAACATCCTTAACTATTTGCGAATAGTAATCTAATTTAGGTCTACTACTTCCCTTGATTACTACTGTTTGTACTTCTAATATGTCTCTAACTACCCCTTTATTACTGATACATTATCCTATCTCAGCTATTCCTCATTGGCTTCCCCAGCGCCCTTGTTCCTCTACTCTTTCTTCTTTACTTTTTTGCTAAGTACAATTTTAATTTAACATCATTTGTTGCAAGAAAATTAATAATTGAAGTACCTACGGTGGAACTTTACTAAATAAATACTAAAAAACCCCAGATGGCATCCTAAGTTAAGGACGGATGGGTTAAAAAAATGTCAAAAGGTCTTATCCTTGCGTTCTTTGACGTTTGCTCTACAGAACGTAATTATTGTCAGATTATTTTGAAATTATCAAATTTCCAGCATTTATTTCAATTCGTTATCAAAGAAGCATAAGATAACGAACGTCATCATCATAAGGCCAGTCCTAAGACTGGTTGGACACGCATTATCACTCTTTTCTATCCTGATGAGCTAATTTTCGCATTTCCCTAAACCTAGAACAACCCACGAACGTACTAATTAAATAATTTAATAAACTTTAGAAAAACAATTACTGAATGTTCTTGAATATTTCCGGAAAGTGCCTATAGATTCGTGTCTATCTTGCAGTCTACACGTTTCTGTATAAACAAAATTTATAACAATGGCTCTCGGCTGTCAGTAGCGTTATCAAAGGCGTCGCCGTATCTACTGCCGCCTGCGGCATTCCTCCACAATAATAGAAGATACAAAACAAAGCGTTAAAATTGCAACGTATAAACAATAAATTACATCATCCATTTATTTATGCAACGCTGCAAGTAGCAAGACTGCATTCTATGTATTTCGCATACGTAATCACCGTTTCAATTATCGTGTTATATATTGCAGCGCGCAAGTTGAATTAGCTTTCTTACACTAGACGCGAATCCCAAGGGAACGGAAGGGTTATTTGCGAAAGCGGTTCCCGACTGATTACCTGTAACCGCAGTCTTAATTGCCAGCATAACACCAAAGTGCCTATCTGAATACTCACTACAGTTAATGAAGCCATTATTGAGATAGTCGACAGTCGCTCTATAAACTACACAACTAACTATTAACTAACTTTAAGACATACTATATGAATTTCGTTGAGTTTATGATTATCACTTCACTAAAATAGATGTCTATTTGCAATTAATACACTTTGCCAAAACGGCCCATATCGTGTGGCCCATATAAACTTTCAAGTTTGCTTTTTCTTATTATAGCTGATCATATTCCACCAATAAAATACGCAAGATATAAACAAGACAGACGTAGTACAATATTTAGAAATAAGAAAAGGGACAGACTCATTGTTTTTAGCGATTCAAAAGAATTTTGAATAAGTATAACAAATGTTTGTTTCTGGATTTTTTTGCATCACCAAGCAAAAAGCAAAGCAATGGTAGGTATTAAAATTCACAAACTATTTCGACAACGTACGACAATTTTGGAATTCCCAAACGATATCCAAAGAACAGAGGTAAAAATTACCATCAGTCTGGTGATCGTTCCTGCTGCAGAAAAGAAACAGGTAGAATAAGTGTTTGAGGGGAAGTCTTATGAGAAGATGCTAGAAATACCTGGAGGACGTATTAGAAACAGTACGAGACCAATGGAAGTTATGGAAGTCAATAATAAAGCGAGATGAGTGAGTGGGCAGTGATGGACAAAATTGGTCCAAGACCAAGACTGTCTTTATATTAGCAACATCAAGGCCAAAAAAGAACGAACAAAACCAAGACGGAATATGTAAGACCAGACGACAAATTATTATTTGCGGTGGATTGTATTTTGTTAGATAAAAGGTCAAGAATTAATGTATTGGAGGCAAGGTCATTTCTCGAATTCGACACTATTTTTTTGCATGTATGACAGAAAATTTCAACATTTAAGACAATTATTGTTTAGGTACAAAAAAGTACCTAAGTATCAGAGTAAATCAACAAGACCAAGGACCAAGACCTATACCAACACTGGGACAGTCTTGATCTTGCTTTGTTCATCACTATCGGTAGGACATCTTTTCAGATAAGAAGGGCTACTTAGAGACATTTCGAAAGTAGAAACCGCTTTCACGAAGGACAGGTGTAAATGTTCGCAAATAGTTAGAGGTGTGGGGGGTTGTTCTAATTTTTGGAAAAAAAGGAATATTGGTTCAAGATAAGAAGAAGAGGTTTGTGTCCAACCAGCTTTATTGTGGCTAATGAATTGGTGGTACTGTTTTCCAGTGATATTAAACACTGGAACAATTGAAATTATTTAAACAAAAGCTTATTCTGGAAATACTACAAACGGCGCAGTAAACGCCATCTGTACCACGATGCTACATTTTAGGATTACGTATGCCCCAACAAAGACCACTTTTGTGGATATCTACTTGCTGAAAGCGAATCCCGGCGCGCTGATGAGATCCAAAAAGATCGAAATCGCGATTCGCGTCTGGCAGTTTCGACAGAATACAGACCACTTCGAATTATTTTAAAAGCTTATTCTGTTTTCATAGCCGCTTATAGACACTTATACTTTTATTAGTTAGTCTATTTCGTAATTAGTAACAGTGCCTACCCGGCGCATTCACCATAAAATATTTCCAAATTGTTATTTCATTGAGAGGTTTGCAATAGACATATCTAAAACGGTAATACTCCCAGTGTGTTTAGTCCTTAAACGTAACGGAAAACTGATTCAGGACGCGATATAATTTTCCAGGAACAGGAGCCGTAGTCGAGAGGGCGTTTAGTTTTAACGACGGCGCTAATGAAACAATCTAAGTCACAATTATGAGAAATGACACATTCATCTTGAGAATACAATTTGGTCCCTTAACACCATTGTTAATAACAATAGTTCATTCGCCTTTTACTTTACTGTTTTACCCGTTATTGTATTAAGTTAAAACGTCCCATCTTCTCTAAGGAATACGCTATTTAAATCAAATTCGTACATTGAAAGTACCTGCAATAAAATATTTCCCTGTACATTC